CTCTTTTTCCGTCTGATTCTAATTTTGCTAGCCGTTTCCTGATAGCTATTTAAATTATTTAGGCAGATGTTTTCTTACGTAATTCTATCTTGAAATATAGATTAATCTCTTATGTTGCTTTTTAAAAAGGTAAACCAAATGTAATCTCGTTAAAAAGAAAGTTTTATGGAAGATCTTACAGGGGAAATAAAATGAGAATCCCGCAAGGTAATCCCGGGTTTAATTCATTCGGTCCTTGCTAGTTGTCTCCCGGTTCTGAAAATCTGCCCAGCCAAACGATGCTAGAAGTTACCAAAATAGTCACTCTAAGTCTAAATGTATTAGAATAAGTATTTCTGAATATTTAATAAAAGGATATATGCTGTGTAATTTTGTAACTATTATTCAAACCAAACAAAGCCCGTGAGCCACTCAAAGCCGTCATGGGCAAATAGTGAAATCTTCAAAACATGGCGTCAAAACACTATTCTGTGTAATTTTCTTCACACAAAACAAGGCTCAAGAGCATCTCAGAGCCGACCTAGGTATGACGATAAACTAGATCAGGCATCAAAGCATCTGATCGGGAGGCTTTGAAGAGCGTTGAATTGATGTTGTTCCCAAAATCCACCATGACCGAAAGTGGTAGCACCTGTTAGGGTCCCAGTTATGGGCAAATAGTGAAACTCCCAAAACATGGCGTCAAAACACTATTAAATTCTAAAAATACATCTTTATAGTAAAAATAACCGTGATATATTTTCATAGTAAAAAAAAAATAACATCAAAACATTTAAAATAAAACAACGAAAAATATTTATCAGAAATACATTTTTAAAAAAAATAAAATATTTCTAGCAGTACATACCTGTTAAAAAATAAAGATTACCAGCAATGCATTTTTGTAAAAGAAATTACTAACACTCCGAAAAAAATGAATTTCAGCATTAAAGGAACCATAGGAGTTGATCTGCAGGTCATCAAAGAAACCCTGAAACAGCCACTCAGTGTTACTAAATCAGGTTGTTGCAAGCGCGTACAAAGACGGAGCAAGCGGTGTATATTATGAGGATATGTAGGATAAATAAAGGTTTACCTTGAAACTTGAAGTGGTTAAGATTGTAGGGATCGGGGAAGCATCCTCTTGGGAGTCTGCTCCACAAGTCAATTGTTCTGGGGAAGAGGCTATCGGAATTTTATAGAAAAATTAATATGAATTTCGGAATACAGACGAAAAGAAACCTAATTTTGCAAATGGCGATTCACTTTAAATTTAATCAGGATTTGAAAATGATAATGTCGAGAACGACCGTTTCCATACACGAAATATTCAATATTTATTGACTACACGGTTTGTGCTGCTCTCGGTTGAAATTAATAAAATATATAGAGTAGAAACCTGACAATCGGACTAAGAAGGCCTTCCGGATATGAGCAATTGGTTACAATGTCCGGATATGAGGGGTTATATCTAGATTAAAAGAAAAGATCTGAAATCAGGTTTAACATTTATTTTCAATGTTTTATAGCAAGCAAAATAAGCTAATGGTGAGTGAAATATAACAGAATTGATTTTAAGGAAAAAGAAATAACTTATGTAATGTTAATGACAATTCATTAAATTAAGTATGCCACGTATGCAAAACAAATAATGTAACGAGGAGTTTTTTAATCGCTGTTGCATGATGATTCTTTCTCTTCTAATGTTATTCTCAATTTTTTCAGCATTTCGTTTTGCTCTTGTTCTTGGAATTTCTTAAACTAAAGACATTTTTTAACTCTGCATGCATTATTGCAATCGTCATAGTTGAATGCTGGCTTTCTTTCCATAAAACTGACAACCTTTTCAATAGCTTTTTTTCAATTTCGGTCCAGGTTTCAGCACAATCATGCATCTCGTCGCTATCTTGTTGCAGATGTGTCTCGTTGTCATCCTTTCCTCTTATTCCCCTCATCTTTTGCACCAAATACGAGCCATTAGGTTGAAATAAGCATAAGCAATTATCCAATGTAAATTTCCTGAAAAACAGAAATTTCAAACCAGTTACATATCATCCAAATAGTTCAAATGTACACATGAAAATCCTGTCCGGATATACGGGATTTCGGATATGAGACACTCCGGATATGAAGGATTCCGGGTATCAGTGATTCTACTGTATATATTTTTAAAATCTTTCCGGAAAATAACCTTCTCAAGTCACTTAACTTTTATCACTCTTTCTAATACTGATGGCAGTTTTCTTCCTAATCATTTTTAAGGTAGTGTGGAAAGTTAACATCCTGATTATATCATGATTTTCTCTTCGAATTCCATGTGATAATCATTTTTATTTTTTGTTGCTGATAAAAGTTTTCTCGTGATGTGGCTTTTGCAGTTTTATCGAGCTCTTTATGATTGTGTAGCGTCAGTGTACAGGTCTGGTGAAGGAATGTCTTCTTTAAGACCGTTTCTTGCTATGGATGTGTGTGTAATGCAACCGATATCGGCATCGAACGTGCTGTGTTCAGATTAACCCAAATGCGCTTAAGAAAGGCATGAACCCGTCTCTTTCGCCACCAATAGCTATGGATTAAATAGCAGGTTGCAACCATTTCCAGAGAAGGAAAACCTCTGAATTCCAAACCTTGAAGGCTCTAACGGAAAGAATATTTTATAAGAAAGACTAGCAATTCACAGATAATAAAGAAAAGGAATCCGTGGAGAGTCATGACCGTCTACGTCTTGATGGGGCATGTTATTAAAAGAAACGTCAATGTTATGGTGCAAGTACACTAGAAGATATTTTAGTCGCCGGTGCAAATGTCCAGTTGGTAAAGAACTTGTCATCCACACCAACCTGCTCAGGTTGCATCCAACCTTACGCTGGAGAAGACTTCCTCTACAGAGAACTTACAAATGACAAAAGACACACTAGTCGCCTTAAGTTGCGCTACAGGGATGTCTGTAAGAGGAACATAAAGGCCCTTGGCATCAACAGTGACCACTGGAAGGAGTGGAGAAACTGAACAACGCAAAGTGTGTGACAGAGACTACCACTCGCGCATCGGCCTGTTCAGTCACAGGCGGCGATGTTTCAGAGGAGCAGATGAGTGAGATCAACGCCATGCACACTGATGACAGGCGGATGCTTCCTTATAATGATGGTTGACAACAAAACAATAAAAAAAACTGGCTATTTGCTAATCGTATTCTTATCACACGATAACTATTTTTGAGCACTAAGTTAAGGTCAAGCTCACTCGACGTTTGAGTCTCAATCGCATCCCAGATCTCAAGTGAAAAGGATCTATGCTGGCAAAATGCTCGGCACCTTATACCATTCCAGAAAATACATAATTTTAACCCTCACAGCTAAGATGCGCCACACCATTCTGATTCACTTTCCTACGAAGTGCTAATTTGCGGAAGCAACTACCAAGAGGATGCTTTCCCATTCATATATATATATATATATATATATATATGTATATATATCCTTATATGTATACATATACATATGTATATATATATATTTTCATATATATATATATATATATATATATATATATATATTTTTTCTCCATCGATACATTCATTTCTGTAGTTTACTGCTACCAGCAAGCAGAAATATTTCTTCTCCCGTTGATGGCCATTTTGGTCGAAACTAGTCAAGGAAACTAAATGAAATAATAATAAAAAAAACGAAAGAATATGAATCTACAACCCAGTGTGTCTGAAGATTTTAATTTTTTAATATTTTTATTGTTCAATATATATATATATATATATATATATACACACGTATATATATATATATATATATATATATATATATATATATATATATATATATATATATATATATATATACCGTATAACAGTAAAAATGTACAAATCGTGATACCGAATTATTACAAAATGTTTGATATCTAAAAATCTACTAAACTGAGTTTCTTTTTTCCATTTGTTCAGATAAGAATTACTTTCTTGACAAAAATTATTGTTTCGTCCGTGTATTGTTTGATATATTGAAATGTAATTCTCATCTTTGATAATGGCTTATGTAAGCCGAAAGCTTACATCGGATTTAAACATATGGTGATTTCCTTTCGTCTTTCAATGATGATGTTATTAAGCTTATCAGACAATATGAAAGGAACTTACTTAAAATAATTAGACACTTCTCTATATTATTTAATGAAACATGCATCAATGAATAATTGCTGCATATATATATATATATATATATATATATATATATATATATATATATATATATCCTTTGTAACTAGAGATGTGACTTGATGAACTAGGACAAATATATTTTCTCGTGAAATTATCGTCATGAAACCTTAAGATTGTCTATTTAATTTAATTAATATTTGCTCTGGTGTTACATTGACCTCTCTGGATTACATATTCTTTGGAATTATCCATACGGATTACCAACCTCTTTATGCCCTTACATATATATATATATATATATATATATATATATATATATAGAGAGAGAGAGAGAGAGAGAGAGATAGATAGATATATATATATATATATATATATATATATATATATATATATATATATATTATTCACAAAAAATTGAAACTATCAATTAAATTAATTTTTGTCTTAGCAATTCCCCATGAAATGATCTTAGATGAGATTGAAAATACTTGGGAAAATAAAAGAAAAGAAAAATATCTACGGTGCCTTCTTTAATGAATGTAATATCCACATTAAAAATCGATCCGACAATTCCAGAGGATTAAAATCAAAATAAATAACTATAATATGTCCAGATTATTCAATCAAATATGCTTGAATAAAGATATGATGCCTAAATAGACATATATAAAGATGTAAATCTGTTGTTTTTATAAAACCCACAACTGCGATTAAATATATGTAAATTTCGTTTAGATCTGTTCTTAATGTCAAATACCCTAAATGATAAAAAGGGCAAGAATAAAAGGATGTTTTTTTTGATCGCAAATTCCATATTCTCCAAACACAGAACCGAACCAACAGCTTTCAGCAA